CCCAGGGGGACCCTCCCAGGGGTGCTAACAGGGCCCAGCTCTCCCACTGGGGCTCCTACCTGCATGCCCCTCCCTCTCCCCAGGGAGACAGCCCCACAGGCCACTCCCTGCCCTGGCAGTAGGTGACTGTGTTGGGGTAGGGCGTGGACCCGACCCCATCCTGCCCCCAGCACAAGGGTCCAGCTCCACCGGCCCCCTAGATCCCCTCCAGAGTGAGGATTCCAGAAAGGCTGAGCTCTCTCGTACCCAGCACTGGGGGTGGGGGCTCACCAGGGTTTTCAGGAAATGGGTTTTGGGGGTCTCATCACAACCTGAGCTGCATGGCAGGGGCGGAAGGGGGCCTGGCTTCCCTGACAGCAAAGGTGATTCTGGTACAGAGAGCCTGCTGCTCCGGGGGTCCCAGTTCCCACGGCAGCTGCGCCCTAGCACGGAGCATGCTCCGCCCTCTCAGCACCCTCCCCGGCCAGGCCAGATGCTGAGTGAGCCGGCAGGTGGATGGGAGGAAAGACACCCATTGTCCCCCTCCTGTGTGCCTGCCCCCCATCCAGGGGCTGGGGGGAGGGTTCCTAATCTGGGGAGCAACAAGGACCCCAAGCATTCGAGTGCTCCACTCTCTGCCTTCTGTCCATTTCACAGGTGTGGTAACTGAGGCCGAGGGTGACCTGGCTGGCCCAGGGCCACGGGGCCGGTTAGTGCCAGCCCCCCGACTCCCGGCTTGCTGGCACAGGCGGTCCTGGGCCCCCGCGTCACCCCACAGGGAGTGGGCAGCCCAGGTCTGCTAAGAATGTTCTGGGGACCAGGATAGAAACTGCAGAGAGAGCACGTTTACTGGGCTGTGGTCCCGAGCTTGCTGGCACAGGCGGTCCTGGGCCTCCGCGTCACCCCACAGGGAGGGGGCAGCCCAGGTCTGCGAAGAATGTTCTGGGGACTGCGAAGAATGTTCTGGGGACCAGGATAGAAACTGCAGAGAGAGCACGTTTACTGGGCTGTGGTCCCGAGGGTCCAGAAGCCCATGCCTCCTCGCCACAGCCCTGGCCTTCCCCGCCAGCCATGTACAGGAGCCCGGGATCCCTGTGGGTGGATGGGGTGCCTGTCTCACCCCCACCCCAGGTCCTGCATGCAGTAGGTCAGCCCCAGGCTATGAGAGCCAGCTGCGCTGACTCCTACAGCCAATCCATGAAGCACCTACTGTGTGCTCTCCCCTGCAGCCAATCCACCCAGCACCTACTGAGTGCTCTCCCCTGCAGCCTGGCCCTGCAGGTTCTCATTCATCAGGTGAGAGGCCGCCGTACTCTCCCGGCTGAGGCCAATGGGGTCTGGAGGCCTTAGCCACTCAATGACGGGCTGGGTGGGTAGCTGCTGGGGCGTGAGCAGGAGCCCTGCTTTCTGGGCTCTTCTGGGATAACCAGGCATGGCAGCTCCCGTGACCCCAAGTCAGGCTGTAGGTGGCTGGTCACAGACCTACCTGCCCCCCCCCCGCAACAGGGGCTTATGGGGAAACTGCTTTTGTCAGAAGTCAAGTGTCTGGTGGACGACGTGGCCCTGCCAGTCGGGGAGGCCCAGCCTGGCACTGGGCCGAGCATCCTCTCCATATCCTGCCACTGTGGGGACAGTCCGGGAAGGTGGCCTGACATCTTAGGATGTGGTGACGAAGCCCCCAGGCCCTGCTACCCCGTTTGCTTACAAGGCCCTTGAGGCCACCAGCCTGGCCCGGAACAAACCACACAGGAGGGCGCACGCCCTCCTGGCATCGGCCTGACCCCATGACACGTGGGGGCCACGCTGAGAGTCCCCAAAGACACCAAAAAGGAGACAAAATATACGGAAGAGAAACGCACACACGTTCACACGGCTGGAAGGAGGTGGAGCGGAGGGTGAACACTCTGTGGTCCGTCCACACGGGGGTTATCACTCAGCCGTCAGAGGGGAAAGGACTGAAGGCCGCCATCGACAGGAAGCGTCTAGAAGGGGGCGCACAGCGACGCCGGCACGGCGATGTCAGCGGAAGGACTTGTTTCTCAAAAAGAAAGTCACATTTCCACAATTTTTCACACTGCCCCTGATCGTAATCACGGTGCCAGTCCTCGGCATCGACTCAGACCCCGTTGCTAGGGGCCGGTCAGCACGTGTGACCCCATTTTACAGACACTGAGGCAGCCACCTGGCCCCAAGTCCTGCCGCCTGGGACTTGCCTGGTGGTGTCGCTGAGATGTGAAGGGTCGGAGGCCCCCAGGGATCCCCCAGAGCCTCAGGGCTGAGAACCCCCTTCCCCCGCCCACAGGGAGAAGGAGAGAGGGCAGGGCAGGTCCTCAGCGTTCCGAGACCTAAATTTGGTTCTGTCCCGACACAGCCGGTCACACTGTGCAATGACACGCACCCAAGGAGTGAAGCACCAAGCGGGCACCTCGTGAGCAGCAGGTGACAGCTAAAACCAACGCGGAGAGTGGCGAGAGACGCAGTGACTACTGGAGGCTGGTCCTGGGTCATGTGTCCCTTGGGGTCGGGTCCCTGTGGGGACGCCCCTGGGAACACGGCCCAGCAGTAGGCACTGCCCCTGGGGACTCACATCTCCTTAAACCACCGCTCGGTTTCCAGCGACAGGTTGTCCCAGCCCCGGGGGTTGGGTCTCAGGGGAGCTTCCCAGTGGCTCCCCAGGTGACAGATCATGACTCGTGTCCTAAGGCCACATGGCCACCGCCTCCGGCTGCCCTCTCTGACTGCAGCGGGGTGTTTGAAATGCCCCCAAGAGCAAAACCAGGGAGACAGACTTGCTGGGTGAGCTCAGCTCTCCCTTCCAGCTCCAGAGTGGGAAGCACCGTGTATCACAGGAACGGTGACTTCGTGCTGATGACGGGTGCCCGTGATCGGCTGTGCGACCCCCCTGGCCTCCTGGCTTCTGAGCCTTGGGCAGCCCGCCTGGGCCCAGGCGAACCCGGCAGAGGCCCTGGGAAGAGGGGCACTTGGCGGCAGCCTTGGGGTTGGATGCGCCTTACACTGTGCCCCCAGAGGGCCAGGCGTGGGGCCAGGCGTGGCCCTGTCTCTGTTGGCCAACCTGCCTTGACCTGGAGCCCCCTGCGCCCTGTGGGTCAGCCTGGCGGACGTGCTGCCAGCACTCAGCCCTGCGTGGGCCCCGCTGGGAAGGAGACGGAGGGAGGGTGACGGATCGTGAACGCGAATTGAAACGAACTGTGCCCACGTCCTTTAAGCCAATGATCCGACTTCTGAGAACTTCCTAAGTTTTCAGAACAAGACCCGTGGAGCCCGAGCGTGTGGGGGAGCGAGTGCTCTGCGGTGTCATCGACGGGGAGGAGACCCCCATCGACATTGGGGGGCGCGCTGACCGTGGCCACACGAAGGGCCAAGGCACTCCGCGGTGACCGTGGAAGGGGCGGGGAAGGTGCTGGGGATGAGAGCCGGCTGCCATGGGGCCGCCGCAGGGCCTTGTGGACGTGACAATGCACCCGTGTGCGTGTAGCCGGTGTGCGTGACGTGTGTGACCAGGGGCCTTCTTGGTCCCGTCTGAGCTCCAGGACGAGCGTGGGTTCCTATTTCTGTTGGAAATAGCGTGTGCCCAGCAGAGCCATCGCCAGGCTGAGTCAGTGGGGAAAAGTGAGGGGTGCTGTACCCCACAGGGATGGAAGGAGCTCTTGACTGGCCTGGGGACGTGAAACAAGGTGGTCTCCTGAGGGGCAGGTGGCTCCAGGGCGCCGGGGGAGCAGGAACTGGCCTGGGGTCCAGCTTGCCTGGGCCTCCTGCGCTCAGCCCACACTCAGCCAACAGAAGGTGCTGATGAATGTCCCCAGGGTCTGATCTACCGGGTGGGCACACACAGAGCCGGGTGACCAGACCGGCTGGCCGCAGACGTGACCTCCCTTTTACCTTCAGAGCTGCTCCTGGGGCAGGTCCAAGTGACCAAGAACAGGCCGGGGATGCAGGTGGGGGAGGGGGGAAGGCAGGCAGGGAGGGAGTAACACCTGGGGTCTCTCCTGGGCATCCAGGGTGGGGGCTCCATCCCACCAGGAGCTCCTCACCTTCACAGGAGACGTCTGGGGTGTGACCTTCCAGAACCTTCCCACTGCCTCCACTCTCGCCAGCGCTGGCATGCCAGCCACGCGTGCCGTCACCCTGTCCTGGGACCCTGCACAGACCGGGGCCTCGGGGAGCCTCCACCCTGCTGTGACGTGCGCTCTCCCCACCAGCAGTTATAAAACCGCAGGGGACGAAAGAAGGAAGAATCGGGGAGGTGAGAGGTGCACACGGGGCGTTTCCGGGGAGATGAGAGGCAGGCTGGCTTCGACGACCGCGGGACCGCGGGGCGCTGGGCCCTCTGAACGCTTTCTGCGAAGGCTCAGGGAGGATTTCACAGAAGCCTTACAGAGAGACAAGGAGTCACACATCAGAGTCGAAAAGGCAGAGCAAGGTGCCCCGAGGGCACTGGAGAGGTGGCTTTGGGGCCAGCTGGATCAGAGGCTCAGCCAGGGGAAGCCAGAGGCCCTCCCCCGACCAGAGGCTGGAGATAGAAAGCGATTCAGGCCCGGAGGTAGCTGGGAAATAGGTGGCAGGAGCTGAGTGACCACCGCAGGGGGTTCCAGTGGCCTGCCCCTCAGTGGGCTGCAGCCTCCTAAGAGCTGGACCTCTAGCCGCTGGGAACGCAGTACAGCCCGGGTCCCCACCCACTGCAGAGCTGCCTGTGGGACCCTCCAGCCCTGCATCTTAGCAACTGTTCCTTTTGGAAGCTCCGGCCTATGACACGCCTCCCCCGCTGCCCACATGTCATTCCCTGCAGCCCCATTGGTCAACAATGCCATGCTGAAGGCCCCTCGTGCTGGGAGCTCAGCTCAAGTAGGGAGCCAGGGCCCCTGGGTGCTGCCCTCGGCTCCCACATGCATGGGCGGGGGTGTGATTACCCTCCCGGAGATCACCTCATCCAAGTGTCCTACCCAGGTGGGCGGCCTGGGTGGCATGCGTGGCACCGGTGAGGCTACAGCAAGCACTGAAACCGTGCCCCCCGCCCTCGTAGACCCTCCCCACCGTCATCATCGCTGCCAACACACTGCTTCTCAGCGTGTCCCTAAGCTCGGCGCCCTTGCGGGCGCTGGGGACAGTTCATGGTCCCACATAGCAGGCACTTTTGCCCACGTCTGTAGGTGTGCATGGTGGCCTCACCTAGGCTCTGAGTCTTCCATCCTCTGACCTCCCAGGAGGCAGCCCATCTACAAGAGGTGACACAGACGCTGCCCAGCGCCGACCGGCACCGGTGGCCGCAGCCCCACGGTCCCTGCTCAGGGGTGCACCCCACCCCAGGGCAAGGGCAGCCTCTGTCCTCTCTTTCTTCCTCTTCGATCATCAAAAGCGCCCACCACCTCTTGCTGACGTGTCGATTGGCAGTCACTGCCCTGGCCAGGCGCCAGGGGACTTGAGGCGCAGCGCCAGCCTGGTCCCTGGGCACTGCCAAGTATGCCGAGCGCCAGGTGCTGGCACACGCAGTGCTGGGTCCTGGCAGAAAGAGGCTCAGACTCCAGGGCTGGGCCTTCGTGAGACGGCTCTTCCCAGAGAACGTGTTTTGTTTCCCAGGTAAACACATATGGTGCAATCGGAGCTGTTCTGTCCCCAGGTTTCCTCCTGGGGAATCAGCTGAGAGCACCAGCAGCCCAGGGAGGAATCAGAGGCCGCGGAGGGTGGGGCGATGACCTGCCTACAGGTGGGCACGTCCAAACCCGCCCCTGCAGCCAGAAGCTGGGGAGGGTGCGGCCTCACGCCCCTCCCGGCTATGCAGCTGAGCATACGGTCTGGCATAAATCAACAAAGACACCGGCCACTCCTTGGAGAACAGCCTATGACTGGGCAGATGCCAGCCTGTCCCCCAGGGAGAGTCCTCCCGGCAAGGCAGCAGCGCTGCACTGAGGCCTCGGGCGGCCCCTTTGCCAAGGTGACCTCCCAGGCTCTGGAAGGCGAGCTCTCTGCCCACTGAAGCCCCCTCTGCCTCCAGGGCCACGCTCTAAGTGTGCACTTCACCTAAGTCTCCTGACATGCGGGCAGACATCGGCTGACGCTGCGTGACGACGCAGGGTGGCATCAGTCATCACCAGTCACTCTTAAATTCCCTCTCCAGCCTCCCGATCAGGTCAGAAGAGTCGGGGTCTTTGAGGCCTCTTCACCCCATCACTGCTCATGTCCACTCACCAGAGGTGGGGCACCCTTGGGCACAAAGCCACAGCGACCGAGGAGCTCAGCGAGGCCGGTGTCCCGTTGCTACAAGGTAGCCAGTGTTCTGCTGGCTATGCAAACTTTGTTACCAGCTATGCGCCACGAGAGGCGATGATTTCCTAACTGTAGCGATGAGTAAAGGTTCTCTTAGAAATAAACTTACCTCAGTAAACACAAGCTAGTGGGCTTAAGGAGACATGTTTTAAATAACGGACTAGGTGGTGCTGGACTTGGCGAAACCGCAAAGCAGTCTGCAAACTCTGGAAGCTGCTCTGAACAGGCCAGGAGCTGCCCAGAGGGAGGTCAGCCTTCAGCCCCGAGCGGGGACCAGGCCTTGGTTGTCACAAGTTCCCTTCCCAAGAGTCCCACCCAGAGCGGCTTCTTTTATTATAAAATAAAATGTAAATGCAGAAAACCACACATCCGTCTAGCTCATGAGCTTTCGCAGACGAACACTCCATGACCATCATCTGCCCACCACCCCGGAAGCCTGTCAAGCCCTGCCTGCCCTGCGGGATGAAGTCTCGACTCTCCCCACCTCTGTGGTCTCGCCATCCATGCTGTACCCGCGGGGTCCTGCCTGACCCCCTCCCCGCCTCGAAAATACTTGCCTCTAAGTGCATCTCCCCCGCTTCCTTTCCTTACAACCCATCTGGAGCACCAGCATCTGACCTGCGAGGGGCTTTGGGACTGGCCGGGGCTTTGCCACTTGTGGGCAAAGCTCGGTTCGTCTCTGACCCTGGTTTCACACCTGAAAACGGCACTGCCAGGTGCCTCTCGGCCTGTCCTGAGCCCGTGCAGAGCAGACACCTGTGCACCTGAAGGCCTGGGCTCCGGTGGGGCCTCGATGCCCAGTGGCGATCGCTAATAAACGTGAGGGTCCCGAGTGGATTCTGCAGGGGGACACACGACGCGGCCATGGACACAGGAGGAACAACGCTCTGCGTGGTCGAGTCAGGCCTCGCAGGATCTCCGTGAGCGGTCATGCCTCGGGCCCACCTTCAGCATGTGCTCTCGGCTTGCCCACATTTCCAACCATCTTACTCAGCGGGCTTCCGAGACAAGAGCGGCCAAGAAGCAGAAATGTTTTTAAGAAAGTAGATAACTGACAACCCGTCCAACAGGTTTAAGAAAAGGCATCTGGGGCCGTTTAGTACAGGGACAAACAGTCCTGCGGTGCTCCGGGTGTCATGACGGCGTCATTGGGTGGGAGACCACAGGCTGAGCTGGTTTTGGTCCAGCCCCGTCATGTACTGGGTGACTCCGGGCAGCTGTCTTCACCTCGCTGAGCCTTGGGGTGCCCATCTGTACAATGGGGCGATGGCAGAACTAACTGCATAGGGCTGCTTTAAGGATCGAAGGAGATAGGTCGTTTTAAAAAGCCCTTAATAAAGTGTTATGAAAAATAATCATAATGCCCCAAGTCACCAGGAAAAGGGTTGAATGATTTCCCGTTTCTGCTCCGAGGTTGCAAGGCAGCGTGTGTGAATCGCATCCTGCAGAGTTCCGCTGAAGGCGGCAACGTTCTCTGAGGTCTGGAGCTTAGCGGGGGAAGTTACCCATGCCAGGGACAGTCCCCGCGGCCTGAAGGAGCGGTCCCCAAGGACCACGCCTTCCACTGGGCTACTCCCACTCCGGCAGGCTGGCCGGGGCCAGGCCGGTGGCTTCAGACTCCAGGCTCAGGCCGGCGAGCAATGGATGGCCACGTCGGGAAAACAGGCCGGCCGGAGATAAACAGTGTGTTCCTTGTGCTTACGAGATTTAAAAATAAACTGAAAAGCAGACACAGTTTAAAAATAATGAACAGGGCGGAGGACAGTCATTTGCCTGTGTCTTCAGCCCGTCATCTGCTAAACCGCAGTTTAAAAACTGGCCGCCTGGCCGGCTGCAGCACTGGTGGACAGCAGCGCAGGCTGGCAGGTCCCCAGCAGGGTCGGTGGTGGCCCCAAGGGGGGATCCACCGAGGGACCCACTTGGCTGCACCAGGTGTGAGGGACAGAGGTCTACTTTGCATAGAAGGAGGCTTTTCCCGCCTCTTTGCTGCATTTGGCATTGTCGGGCGTGTTCTGTGCAGGAACCCGCCATAGGGACGGCCTGCCGGGCATCCCTGGGCTCCCCCTCTTCCTGCAGTGCACCCCACACCGCCTGGCCAAGGCGGCCCACAGAGGGCACCTGTCGCCTCCAGTAACTGGGAGGGGTGGGGGGAGGCACCCCTGGGGAAGGCCCCGCCGGCATTTCGCAGTGCAGGGCAGGAGGGCGGGCTCAGCTGGCGCTCGGGACTCGGCGCCCAGCTGCTGGCACAGACAGGCCTGTCTGCGAGCTCGAGAGCGAAGGGCCTCGTCTCTCCCGAAGGAAAGGCCACGTTTGGTTTCTCAAGGGCCACTGCAAAGAGGATGTTTGCTGGACAGGACCAGAGGGCAAATGGGTCCAGGCCCGGGGTGCTGGACCGAGAGACAGCAGCCCTGTGGGCACGGGGCCGGGGGGACGGCCACTGAGCAGCAGGGCCTGATGGCCGAAGGAAGACCTGCCCGGTCGGAGCTCAGACCTGCTCAGCCCGGTGGTACGTGTGTGAGCGGAGTCGGGTGTGGCTTTTGGCTCCGTCCCAGGTCCTGACACAGGAAACACGGGCTGTGCCAGGGCAGCAAGCAGAATAAAACAGTCAGGGGTCCAGGAAGTGAGACCCGAAGGCATTTCCACACATCGTGACTCGAAAGCCTCTGGCCACATCCAAGTCCTACTTCTTGCAAATGTCTGGACCTCACAGAAATAAAGACAGAACTGCAGCCTGGGAATCCACTGGCGAGGCTTCCTGCAGGGCGGAAGGCCCATGGTTAGTCTGGCCACTCCCTTAGCCACTGTGATGGGGGGCTATGTCTCCCCACGTTCCTGTACCAAAGTCCTAACTCTCAGGACCTCAGAATGTCACTATATTTGGAGATGGGGTCTTTAAAGAGATAACTAAGGTAAAACGGGGTCACTGGGGTGGGCCCTAATCCCATGGGACTGGTGTCCTCATAAGAAGAGATCTGGACACAGAGACGCATAGAGGGACGACCAGAGGGGACACAGGGAGGAGGAGGCCGTCTACACCACAGGGAGAGAGGCCTCGGGAGGAACCGCCCGCCCACACCTGCATCTCAGCCTCCAGCCTCCAGGCTGTAAGACAATAAACAGCTGTGGTTTAAGCCCCCAGGCTGTGGGACTGTCACAGCGGTTGACTGTCCACACAAGCAGGCCTCCCGAGAGGGACTGGTCAGCACCAAGCACCCTTGAGAAAGGGGAACACCTCCCTGGTCACACTCAGAGGAGTAGGGGATCTGAGGTTCCTCTCCCAGGACTGACGGCCAGCACAGGGGCTCAGCCCTGCCTGGGCCACTTCCTAGCTAGGTGACGGCAAGGTTGATGCTCCGGGGTGGCCCAGAGCATCATAGATGGCGCTTTGCACGTAGGGCCTGGGGACCAGATAACCAAGGAGCAGCCTCCACCAACAGCTCTGCTTCTACGTAACCACAAGTGGAAATACCCGCGTCCGGGACTTGCCTGCCACGGGCCCCCTGCGCCATCGTTGGCACGGTGGCAGCGAGTGTTTTCACCCTGGGCGCTCTAACCACCAGCTCTGAGCGGAGCCTGCAGAAGCGTCGGCCGCCCCCCGCCCTGGACCCTTCCCACCCAGGTTCGGCATTTTTTTTTTTTTTAGCTTGACGGAGCCACAGTTGACAGATGAAATTGTAAGATATTTAAAGTGCGTGCAAGGTGATGACTCGACGTAAATTTACCTGTGAACCGATTCCCCCCGCGGAGGGAAGGAACGTCCCTCCCTCACCGTACCGATTTCTGTCCCCCCCCCGGGAGAGAACATCATTTTGGTCCCACTCTCTGAGCACGTTCCAGTTACACGATACCGTGCTGCCGGCTGAGGTCCCCGCGGCACAGACTTTTTTTTTGTTTTTCATGAACACAACGTGCTGGTCACCGAGACCGTCGGGGGAACCTGGCTAACACCTCTGTGTCATGAGCACCATCGATGGACACGGCGAACGTGCTTGACAGGGCGAGGGACGTAAATCGCGATTATTCATCTAAAGCGAGGGAAGGGAACGAGGAAGAGTCGCTCCCCGCCCAGCTCAGGAGCTGCAAGTCTTTCCGCACGAGCAGGGACACGAAGGGACACGAAGGGACGAAGGGACGGGACATCTGCAGTCCCGTCACATCTGTAAGGAAGCCAAGGGCGCCTGCATTCGTTTGTGGCTTCATCCATATATAGTCAAAGCACAAAAACGCGCCTGGGAACGCTGGCTGGGAAGTCCTCTGGGAGGGAGGTGGGAAGGAGGAGCAGGGGGCGGGGGCGGGGTGGGCTGGGGGGCTGGGGGGCCTGAGGGGCGAGCGCCACCCTGGAGCCACCGGCTCTCAGATCCGAGGCAAAAACAGCCAGATATGATGACCTTGGCTCTATTCTTCGGTGTGGTTCCTGTGTTTACATCTTCCACAGTCATCAATCATTAATCAAGCTTTCAATTAGCGATACAGAGATGGTCCCTCCCTGCTCCAAGGGCTGAGCACACCATGGGGAGCCTGAGCCTGAACTTGACAGCAGAAGGTCAGACGCAGCACTCACTCTGGGCCGGCTCTGCGAGGCCCCGTTGCCCAGATGTTCGGATGAGAACACCGAAGTCTGGCGCTTAAGGGACTTGCCGAGGGCCCCTCGGCTAGTGCAGTGTCTGAACTGGGGTCCACGTTCCAGCCGCCACCTCTGAGCGTCCACGTGGTCAGAGGTCACCCACAGGGAGTGAGGAGCGTTTCACAGGGGCCCTGTTTACAGACCGGGGCGCCAGGAGCCAGTCCCTGCCTGCCATAAACAAAACACCGAAGCCAAACCAACAGCCATGGCTGCTCCCGGATCAGGAGCTGGGCCAGCCATGGGAGACCGACCCATAAGAAGAAGGCACGGGGCTGGGAGGGGTGGGGTGAGGTCACCCTGAAGAGACAGGCTCCGCAGAGCAGGTGGGGGCCAGGGGCAAGCTCCCCAAACGCCTGGGGCTCCATGCATGCCCGCTGAGTGCCATCCCGTGTGGGTGCCAGCTCAGCGCACCACACAGACCTGAAGCAGAGAGGCGCAAGCCGGACAGACAGCCGAGGGGCTCCTGCCCTTGCCACCCCAGGCTCAGAGTGAGCAGAGGGCGGGGCCCTCCCCAGGGCTGAGCACCCCCAGGTGAAGAAAGAACCAGCCCAGCCTGCCCCGCTGCCGGCAGCTGGAAGCCTCTCCTGCAGGACGGGCTGTGAGAGGGTCCAGCAGCTGCCGGCCTCAGGTCTGGCACACGTGCCCTTTGCTTGAGGCCCTGGAGCATGGCCACCTCTGTCCCTTGCATGAGCCTGGGGTAGAGACCCAGCAGGGCTGGGCTGCAGTGGTGACAGCTCCCCTCAACGTGGGCTGCTCTCCCCTTCCGCTGGAGGACAAGGGGCCACAAGGCGCCCTGCGGTCCCATGAGGTGCTTGTGCTGGGCTGGTGCAGGTGGGTGGCCTGCTCTTCGGTGTGGGAAGTCCTCTCCCTGTCCTGCTCGGGGATCACAGGAAGGCAGGGGGACAGAAAGCGGCTGTCCTCTCCAGCAGCGGGCTGGACTTGCCACCGGGCACCAGGCAAGCAGAGGAGGCAGATTTCCACTCAGTCTCGGGACTTTGTTCAAACTCTTTAAAATCAGCAGAAACTTTTTTCCGTATAAAACTTGACGTGTATCTTGAGGGCTGGGACATGGCCTCTGGAGGGAGGACCCTGGCCTCGGGTGATGCTGCCCTCTGCCTGTCCTGCTTCTCTCCAGGGCCCTGCCTGGGCCTGGGGGACAGGATGTGGAACACAGGGTGTCAGGGATCTGGGAGCCATAGGGAAGCCTTATGCATGGGGAAACTGAGGCCCGGTGAGGGCAGCATGATGACCCTGCCATTCTTGGGCCCCGGTTCCTCCCCTCTCAGTGAGAGTCTCCCCCGGGGTGCCCTCGACCTTCAGCTCGTGTTGCGGGGCAGGGCAGGAGGGCTCAGGTGAGAGTCTGCACGTGCTCGGAGGCCAGAGAATGGAACTCAGGGACGGAGGTCTGCTGGGTCTTCCTGTGGGTGAGTCTAAAGGTCAGCAGAGGGTTGGGTAGGGCTCTCAGTCCTTTGGGAGTGGCTTCACTACACCCGTGACTTATGTTTTGAAGTTTAATGCAAAGTCCCAACTCCTGCTCCCTCCCCAGCACCCCTAAGGCCCTGCCATGTGCCTGGCCTTGGGCCAACAAGGAGGTCTGGCTCCTAAGCCACAAGGACCTACACCAGAGTCACCGACACATAGCTGATGCTCACCCAATGCATACGTGAGACCAGCTGGTGACTTATGGGACCGCTGTGGCCTGGTCTACAGACAGGGAAATGGAGGTTCAGGAGGTAAAAAAAAAAAAACCACTAGCCCCCAGGCCCGGGTTAAAATCCCCCGAGACATCTTCCTGGGCCAGGCCTCCAGATCCACTGTGCTCTATGACACCGACCCCTCGGACCCTGGGCCCAGCCTCAGTCCTGTCCGCCAACCCCAGGTCTGCACTGGGGGCCCGGCTCAGCCCAGGCCCAGCTGGCAGGGGTCTGGAGCTCCCCTCAGGAGCAGCGCTGTGCAGGAGAGCCTGTCCTGTCACTCTGGGGGACAGCCGAGTGCCAACCCAGAGACCTCAGGGAGGGCTGCATTCAGGGGCCCGCTGCAGAGATGCGGAAGCAGGCCTCCTGAGCCGGCAAGGACTCTGTCCACGACCCTTCCTGGCCACTGCCCCTCCAGCCACATTCCCAGCACCCTGCCCCTCATGACAGGTGGCCATGCTGCCTTTTAGGCTCCAACTGAGAGAGATGGGGGCCCTGTCAGCCCCTGTCTCGCAGAGTTGGGACGAGGAGCCCATAACCCCATGGCAGGACCAGGTTGGCAAGGGTCCCCAGACCCCTGGGTGTCAAAACAGGTGGTAAATGAGAAGAACACGATGCCCTGATCCAGTGAGGTCAGAACCCTGCTCCCTCTCTTCTGCAGAAGCATAGGGACCAACATCCCACAGACACAGCAACACACAAACCCAGAGGGCTGTCCCCTGGGCCCCCACCAGGGACGTCCAGCCGGTTCCCCTGGTGATGGTTCAAGGCCTGAGTCTGCGACCTCGCTCCGCTCTGGGCGCATCCTGCCGGATCTGCCCGCCTCCTGAACCGGGGCAGGGTGGGGAGCCCGCCGTCCTGTCCCGGCCGCTCAGGTGCCCTCTGGTCACTCCCCGGCCCCCCTCTTCTGGCTTCCTGGGGAAGCGCCCTCCCACGAGGAGGACAGGCAGAACGCAAAGCCTCCAGAAGCCGTGGCGCAGCGGCGTGCGACCGAGACCCCGGCCCTTTAACTGACTCTCCCGCCGCATTCCTCCCAATAGACCCGCATACAAATCCCGCCGCCGCACCGCGGTGAGCCGGCCGCGCAGCCGCGGGGTCCTTAATGGACCTTTTGCCGTAGTCACCCCAATAGGTGGGCATGACAGTCTGCGCCGCCGCAGCACAACCACGAGCGCTCCCCCACCTCCCCCTCCGTCCCTTCCCCTACCGCAAAGCCCTGGCCCTTAAAGCGACCTCCTCCGCGCCGTATTCACCCTATTAGGCGGGCACAGCGATGCCGCCGCCGCGCTCCCTTCCCCGCGTGGAAGCTTCTGAGAACCGGCTCGTGGCTGTTGGCCCAGCCAGAGAGCGAAGGGACAGAGGCACCGCCCCTGCCGCTGGCGGCAGGGTACCTGGAAGCCTTGCTCCCTCCTGGCTCTGGGCCCCGCCATCTCATCCTGCCAGCCAACCCCAACCTCTGTCTTCCTGGGCACTTGCCTGTCTGTGACAGCAGAGCTTGGCCTACACCTGGCTTCCAATTTCCCCCGGCCTTGGACAAGGGAATGTGATTCCCAACTGGTCACAAGCGGAGGCCTGGGGGACAGGGTGTCCCCAAGTCCCCTCCCCATATCTGCAGTAAGTGCACTCCTTTGGGGTCAGTGTACCCTAACTACCCCAGCCCTTCGGGCCCGGGGTCAGTGGGGCCGCCACCGGATAAAATGTCGCCACTCCTCCAGTACCTGCAGCTGCTGGGTCTGTTTCTGACTCAGGGGAGGGTGGCCGCAGGTCCCCACATAGGATGGGAGCAGTCTCCTGCCTGCCCCTGGAGACTCGGGGTGGAGATGCAGGAGGGGCCTCTGCTCCCCAGCCGGACTTCCCCGGCAGAGACCATTCAAGGGCTTCGCAGAGCATCTGCTGTGTGCCAGGCCCCTCGACGGAGCCTGAGCAGACTTAGGCAACAGGTTACTGATGCCCGCAGGTGCCGACAGACAGCCGCCCTGGGCCTGGCTCTGGTCCAGCTGCTCTCCATCTTTACTCATTCAGTCACAGATGGAGATGATTTCACAGACAGATCAAGGCTGCTCAGAAAACAACACACGGCTCCCTCAGAATGGGCGCTTTCGTGGGGCACAGTCTCTCTGAGAAGTGACATCTGACTCGAGATCTGAGTTAGCCCCCCGGGCAGAGGGCACATGAATGCAAAGGCCCTGGGGTTAAAAAACCAAAAAAACAAAAACGGGCCTGGGGCTGGGTGCTCATTAGTGTGGACGAGGAGGTGGGGATGGGCACCCAGGCCTTGTGAGG